TCACCTATCCCTCAAGCTGGAACTATGAGTCCATAAAGACCCTCAGATTGTATATCAGTTTTGATTAGGGGGTAGGGCCACATCCAGAATTAGAGATGAAAAATCTGTGGAACTGTTACTCAGTTTCATCAGATTTATGACCAAGCCTATTCCTCTCTATCTAGATCCTCATAGTCTCCAGATACTGAGATGAAACACTGACAGCATCACTTGGATGACCAGGGGATCAAGATTTCTGCATGTTGATGATACCTAAACTCAAGTCACTGGATGAACTATTCTTGTAGATTCATTGTAGATGTTCAATAGGAAAGTGTCAAATTCTGTAAAATTACTATAAAGTAAGGGCATGGTGCTAGATCCATAACAATATTCAAAAGAACTCGATAAACAAAACAAAAAATACCTGGCTTCCTTTCTCTGACCACTCTGAGATTTCTTCAAATCTGTGACTATTTAATATTTCATTTATCCCTGAGTTTATTGAAAGTAAGTGTGAGCTGGCTAATAACAATCTGTAAGATAAAGGGTTAATTCCTATTTTTACAGGTATCTTTGGAACACAAAAAGGCCCTCCAAACCAAGACTGTCACCTATCTTTTGAGACAGAGAAGAATTCATAATATGTTCAAGTAGCACTATGTAACTATTCTATCCTTTAACTTTTTTTTTCTGGGAAAAAAAGAACTCTTTGCTACCATTTCTAGTCATCCTGATTTTGCGGCCTGGTTATGGTAGTTCTATAGAAGTAATAGTAGGAAAAGTGGGAGTTAAAATGAAAACTAACTCTAAATGAAAGAGTTAGAAAGGGTCCGTTAAGACTATATCATACCAACTGCCTATTTGAATGCAGAAATTTAAAATAAAGCATCCATGAGAGAAAGCTAACTCCATCTGACTACAACCATTAAAGTGGAATTTGCTACCTCTCCAGATAATTGTTTCATTTCCTGCTCTTTCCTTATTAACTGCTCTAAATGTTTGGCTATTATCCTCCCAGCATTAAAAATCTACTTTCCTGTAATTTACATATATTATTTTATTCCTGTATTCTGGAGCAACAGACAAGAGTCTTTATTTTCTATGATGTCATGTCCACAGAAAACATGAGGAAAGTGACAAAATATGTAGCACAGTGGAAACTCTGCATGTTGAGAACCTGACAGTTATCCTATAACAGGGCTGTCAAACTCTCGGCCCACGGGTCAGATGCATCACATGCTGGCCATGCCCACACCTGGTTTAATGAAGGGGGGGGGAAGTCCCAACACATTACGTGACACCGCCATGACTCCATGAGTTTGATATCCCTGTCCTATAATGTATAAGGGTGAATGAAACTTGTGGGATGACATTACAAGATGTTTTATTACTTCAATTAAACATTAAGAACAGATGCCTATGGTAATTTCTTTTCCCACTTTTTTCTTCTCAAAAACAAAACATTCTTAAATAGTTGAATTTCTCTTGTAAAAACTGAGACTTGGTTTCGTTTCCTGATCATACCTATTCCTTTTTATTCCTTTTTATACCTGGTCACTGGACCAGGTATAACCATCCTATACATTTGCATTAGACTTCTGTGATCTAAGTAAAGTATTTTGGTATTTGCCTATTAAGTTATTTTCTATCTTTTAGCTATTGTACTTAGTTGTGTCATCATAAGTGTCCTATGGTAGAAACTTACTAACATCACTAATAATTAAGTCCTCCATATGTGTTGGGCAACAACTCCCACTATTGTATCTAGAGTTCTAGTTCAATTCACTGAAAAGACACTAAATTGGGATAGATTTTTGCAATCCAGGCAAGCTAGCTATCTTCAAGGAAGTAATACAGTAATCACAATAGAGACATAGTGTAACAAATAAGAAGTGAGTGCACTGATGTTTGAACAGAAACAGTCCACAGTGAAGATCCAAATTTGGTATTTCTTTTGTCATTGTAATCAACATGTTATTATTGGAACCCAGCTATTATCGGTGGAAAATTTTTGAAAACAATTTCTTTCCCTGATGTAAGATAATTCCATACTTTTTATGGTAGAGAAACTCATATTTTCTTGACCTAGCAGAATGTGTTGTCTTTAGTCAAACCAAACACTATTTAATAATAAACATAATACAACTTTTTGCATACAATAGGCACAGAAGTAAATCCACAAGTTTACTTTTAAGCAAGAAGAAAAAAGCTGTAAAATTGATTAAGCACTCAGCTTGCAGGAGAAGAAAGCAGTTTTGATAAATTATCATATACCGTAATTTCCTTCCACGGTGAATCTCTGACTAAGATCTAAGTCCACAGTTCTTTGTGTTAAAAGCAGGTGAATAATTGGAGACAAATGAGTCTTGATATAGTTCCAAAACCAGAATGACACACGGAGTGCTTTATAGGGTTGGATTAAATCAGTGACTTACTCTTTTAGATTAGAAGCCAAGACTTAATGATAGACCTTATAAAAGATGAACATATGGCAGAACAGATTTAATAAATATTGTAACTTGCCCCAGATCTTAATCACAAGTATTTTGTAATCCATCTGTTCCTTCTGTCTCTTAAAGCAGGAGCTCCTACATTCACAGTGAGACTATCGGTCAGTAAACCTATGTGTTTAAATTTCATATTGCTTCCCACAATTTTATCTATTAGAATTGTAAATCAAATAGGAATAACTAGCTCCATACAAGTAATTTCACAGACTAGCCAACCTTCTAACCAATAAGTCTAAATTTACAAGTACAACCAAGAAAACAAATAGACCACTGAACAAATCATCCCAGAGTTCTTACTTGAGGATTAAATGATTAGGCTCAAATTATTCTACTTTGGATGCATTGTGCCAAGATCTAGCTCTCTAGAGAAGACTCTAATACTGGGAGAAAGAGAAGGAAAGAGAAGGAAAGAGAAGAGGATTACCAGCAGCAAGGTGGAGGGATTTAGTAACAATGGTGATGAGTGCACCATTGGAAGACCTGAAAGAACAGGTTAAGGATAGATCATCATGAAGAAAATGTATGTGATTGCTAAGAATTGGAAATAACTTAATAACACATAATCAATCAATCAAATTTACACTATCTGCATTTATAAAAACAAACTATATTTGGGAGTGAAAATGACAATATGGGTTATTAAACAATAAGAAGCTACAATTAAACACGTTCTGGATGGTGATTTACAGAAAAATCACGATGTAGCCCCTCCATTCCCATTACCATAAAGGTAATCTACATAAAAGCCATTTATTCTAGCCAACTTTTATCTACATAAAAAGTGTTTTCACTTATCAGATTTAATTTATTGCCAATTAATTCTAGAGGTATACTATAATAATATCCCTTTACAAGACTGCCTTTTTTCCTGCTAGACAGCTTCTCTTATTTAATAGCACTGTCCTACATACTAACCTGGGCACTTCCACCTAAAATGTCTTTATTAATCAGTCTAAGTGTCAACCACATAAAGGAAACTTGTTTTTTTTCTAAAAATGGATTTGTCTGTACAAATAACCAGGAACATTATTAAATTCTGGTAGTGACTAATTAGATAAGTTAATGAAAACATCTACATAATGTACAAAGCAGTTTAAAACAGCAAATACCATGTTAATGAGTATCAGACCAAGAACTAAAAATTAGTTGTGTGCAATGATTTGGATTCCATTTCGGGAACGGAGATGTGAATTTATCTGCACCTCTTTAAAGCAGTCAAATTTTTCCCCGGGATGTTAGCAGAATGTGATCCTGAGAATAGAGATGGCTGCTTTAAAAAGTTGCAATCAAGGGCATAGATATCTCTCTTGATGCTGCTGATCATATTGAACACTACCTGTGCATTATGACATCAGGATATGAACTCTACCCTTTCGTATTTGTGTCATGATGCGGCATGTAACAGTACAACTTATGTTGTAATTGATGTTTTGTCCCTTGTTTCCGCTAGATGCCTATGGGCAGGAGTTCTATATTTACACTCCACTATTTTCCAATGCATATTTTCCAAATTATTTATGGAATTATACATAGCAATATTAAAAGTAAAACAGTCAAAACCAAAATGTTTTCACATAAATCCATGATTTAAATACTATGCACCAACAAAACTATCCCATCCCTACAGATAGAACAAATACAAATGAATGCAATCAGAAGGGCAAATTGAGCCTTTTATTTTTACATAATGGTTATTACATGCATGTCATCATTTTGGCATCACTGTGGTTTGCTTTTGGATACACTGATAGGCACCTTCATGGGTCCAAAATTACTATATCTAGAGATCCAGCTAGAATTAAACAAGTGATCAGAAGTGCATTTACTTATTTGAGGGATGGTAAGACTGTAATGGTTATTAATCAAGAATCCATTAGGTTTAGCAGTCAAAGCAAGAATAAATGTCTCAGTACTAATTGTTGAAGAATAAAATAGACTACTTGTGTTTTGCTTCAGCCTCTAGTTGGCCATTGAGGAAAAAAATATGCATGACTTATCTTGAATCCTCAGTTTAATCTACTCAACAGCCATAAATTATTACACAGCTGCTGCCATCTATCTCTCACTCATCTGAATCGTTTAATCACACCCATACATGCACAAAGGGACCACTCACTCTTTCGACAACTACTTTGATTGCAAACACCCTTCTCTGACAGCACGTTGTATTTATGCATGAACGTATATTTAAACATAAATATGAACTCTCTTCGGCCCTCCTCCCATTCGCCACAAAACATGTATAACAGCTCCTAGATAACCGGCACCAGAAGGAGACCTCCTGAATTTCTGCAAAATATTATGCTTTCATCTCTAAACAGATTTCTTCCCACGCTGCCGTTCTGGATAGCTACAGTATGAATTTGAGCAGGGTTTTATTTCAGTGTTGTTGGGTTTGGGGTAGTTTTTTTTTTTTTTTAACCGTCTAAACCGGAGACCTTAGTTTTTATAAAGTTATTCTGTTATCGTTATCGAGTCGTCAAGAGGGCTGCTGAATGTCAGCCGTACCTGGTAAACGTCGGGCATATTGACGGTCTCGCCGTGCTCGGCCACATAACCGACGGTGCCTTTGCCCCAGAGCAGCTGCATCTCGCTGGAGTTCTCCGTGCTGTAGCTAGGCAGGACGGGGGCGCCGCCGTGCACGTCGAAGACCTTCGAGACCAAGCTCTTCTTGCCACCGGCGCCTTCCACCAGGAAAAGGGAGCCCCTCTCGGCGTCCACCATAAGGCAGACGAAGATGAGGATCTTGTAGCTGAGCGCGCTGAGGTCCAAGTCATTGGAAATGTCCTTGACGAGCTCCAGAAAGAACTGCCGCTCGTTGTGCTGCTTCAGGTAGCGCTTGTAGTCCAAAGCGGTGGGCGGGTACTGAGGCAGGTTGACCCGGGACTCGAGCAGGGCGCTGAGCAGGTGCGCCGTGGTGGGCGGCAGGGAGCTGGCCTTCCTCAGCAGCGCCCTTCTCCTCGCGCTGCTCAGCGGCTCCTGAGCCCTATGGAGGTGCTCGTCGTAAGTCAGGTTCCCGTGGCTCGCCTTGGAGCGCGCGAAACTTTTCCTCAGCTCTTTCTGGGACCCTCGGTGCTGCAGCAGCTGCCCGCCGGCCGCCGGCTCCGGGCCGGGAGGGGCTGTGGACGAAGGGCTGCTCCGCGGCGAGAGGCCGTTGTGGTGGTATCTGCTTGGCTGCTTTGCCGCCCCGCCGTAGCTGAAGTCAAGCGCTCCCGCGGGAGCTGCTTTACTAAGGAAGGCGGTTCTCCTCTTCAGCCACTTCTCCACCAGCTCCGGGTGTCTGTCTAAGAAACCTTCCACCGCAGCGGAGTCCAAGCCGGCGGGGTTTGCCATGATCCCGGTAAACCTCGCTTTCCCCCTGAGGAACTTTCGGCGCTACTTAACGCCTCATGCCCCAATCTCCGTGGATCGCAAAAGCGGTGGGAAGTCTATAAGCCACTAATTCCCAACGTCCCGAGAAGGAAGCACCGAAGCTCCTTCACAAGGCATGAACCCCTCGCACGGTACATCCGAAGCCGTCCGGGGCGCTCCGCCGAATGGAGAAACTCCGCGTCGAGCTCTGCGTCTTACCGGCCAACGCTCTGCTTTTTCGCTCCATTTCCTGTTAATTTTGCTAGCGATCTGGCCCCATTCCCTGCTCTCTGCAAAGCCTTTCTCTCTCGATTTTACTTCGCCTCGTCCGCGTTCCACCCAAGCGCAAACGCTCGCGTACACACGCACACCCCGTTTGCTTCCCGCCTCCGGGTGTTTCTTGCGGACTTCAGCCGTCCGCCCCTCAGCTCCCGATTACCCAACCGGAGCTGCCGCGGATTCTCCGGGGACGGCCCGTCCAAAGCCCTCCTTGCGAACTATACTGTGCTGGCTCCTGACGGCGGCTGCGTAACCCGGCCAGAGCAGAGCCTCGAAGAAACGAGGGCGGGGAGGGGAAGGGCGCACGGGCCGAACGAGGGAGGGGAAGAGATACAAAGCAGAAGCCGGCGGCGAAAGAGGCAGCAGCGCCTTCTCTGTTGTCTGGAGGCGTTTTTTGTGCTGGAATTCGTGCAGCAGGATGAATGAAGGTGTCAAAGGGGAGGGGCGGATATTAATCGCTTTCCTCCCCCCCTCCCGCCCCCGCAATCCCGTCTTCTCATTAAGCCGAAACAGAGATTGCACCAGCGTGGTATATACACTATTGGCTAATGGTTCGTCAAACAGCTCTCGGTGTATTCCAAGCCTTCCATTGAAGACGATCGAGCTCGGCGAAAGATGCCGCTGGGCAAAAGATGGAGTTGTACGGGGGAGGGGGAGGGGGCAAGAGACGAAATATTTTGAATGCGGGTGAAAGAATATGGGTAGAGATGGAAGGGCTGTGTGCGCGCGCGTATGCGATTTGTAACTTACGCCGCGCGCGTTTATGTTGAAGGCTGTGAGTTCTCCTGTTGGGGTGTAAGTTTGTTAAGGGGAGGGAAAGCCGAGGGATTTCACACCCGTTTTAAATACAATTATGAAGACTTCGGCCTTGCTGCTTTTAATGGAACGGTTCCAAACATTGATTGATTGGTTTGATTTGATTTGTCAATCGCTTACAAGATGATAGGTATAAGTATAAACATGAGTAAGAATACAGGAAATAGGTACGAATACATGGGGACAATAGGACAGGGACAGTAGGCACGATGGTGCACTTATGCACGCCCCTTACAGACCTCTTACGAATGGGGTGAGGTCAATAGGACAACTCTCCCCTCCCTCACTCCGCCCTCTTACGTTGCCATTAATATTTAAAATATTCTCCCTATGTAGGATGTTTCAAGGAAAGCAGAAGCTTTGGCAAGCTGTGGGTTAACAACAGCTGTAGTTTGGTGCTGCCTCCTTACTTTCCTGCAACCCTGTGTGATTCCATCCTCCAGTGTAGACATCACTCCTAAGAAATGGATCTTTCTTTAGGCAGGGAACCCTTGGTAGGTCAGCTCAAAAATAACCCCACTTAATGAAATGGGATTCCATTCAAGAAA